TTTATCAGGAAGCCAAAGTTGAGCCAAGGCAGTAACGTTTTCTGTTTGGCTAACCGATCGACCAATCAGAATAAAGATAGTGACGTGCACACGATAATCCGCTTAGGTTTTTTATAGGACAGTAGGACAATCACTGAAAAAAAATCTCGGTGTATTTACTAAGAAAAGGGTAAAATTACCAAGAATTCAGGGTTCTATTTGATCCCAGTTTTTTCTTGGTAAAATTACCATTTATGGAATTGGTAATTTTACCGAGAAATATCGGTAAAATCTTTGAACTTTCTCGGTAATTTTACTGGACCTTGGTAAAAACGCCAATATTTTTTATCGACTGTGATAGAATTACCGAGATAAAATGGCAAAGTTACCGGGAATTGATTATCAACAAAAGTGGTATTCTTACCTGAAAAAAACAGTAAAAATACCGGTTTTTAGGTAAGCTCACCAGTCTGTCTTGGTAAAATGACCAATAATTGGTAAAAAAAGTGAGATGGTAAAGGTACCAACGGACCTTGGTAAAAACGCCGAGAATTTTTTTTCAGTGAAGACTACCTGGAAGGTGGGAAATCGTACGAAGAAAAGCTTAGTTTTTCCTGTGGATCTCCTCATCGGCACGACGAGAAAAATCATAGATAATTATGATAAACAGAGAAGCAATAAGGATCTTGCAATTACTCCAATTAGTCGATCTGTCAAATATTAAGTAACTACTCATTGTCAGCGCTCAGCTCCGCATCGATACCGGCATCGACCGGAAGTCGTTGGCATATTAATGAGCCCATAGGCACCTTGCGGTTGAGTCACGTTTCTGGGTGCAGCACGCAGCGTCGCGTGATGCACTTCCCGATGCACTTCCCTTTGCTCTCCGCTCCCGAAGAGCAGTCTTCATCTGCGAGACTCTTTGCATAATTCCCAGCGAGATAGTCGCACGTGAGAATGTAATTGCTACGGGAATACCCAGACCGATTTGCGGCTTCTTACTCTGCCGTACCCTGAGGAAAAACGCCGTATGAACCTTCAGGCGTTGCCAAATTTCCTCCGATGCACTGAAAAAAAATTCACGGAGTTTTTACCAAGGTCCGTTGCTACTTTTAGCATCCCACTTTTTTTTACCATTAATTTTACCAAAACAGACTGGTAAGCTTACCTAGAAGCCGGTATTTTTACTGTTTTTTTTAGGTAAGAATACCACTTTTATTGGTAATCAATTCCCGGTAACTTTGCCATTTTATCTCGGCAATTCTACCACAGTCGATAAAAAATATTGGCGTTTTTACCAAGGTCCAGTAAAATTACCGAGAAAGTTCAATAATTTTACCGAGATTTCTCGGTAAAATTACCAATACCATAAATGGTAATTTTACCAAGAAAAAACTGGGATCAAATAGAACTCTGAATTCTTAGTAATTTTACCCCTTTCTTAGTAAATACACCGAGATTTTTTTTTTCAGTGTGTAATGTTTATTTTAGAGAGAAGTTATAAATATTTTTCCGGTAAATTTTCAAGATCCACAGGTAAAATTGCAAACGAAATTATCTGAAAAATTGGAAGACAAATTTTTACACATTTTCCCAGAAATTCGTGATTTATCGAAGGAAATTTGGCAACGTCTGAAGGCTCATACGACGTTCCTCCTCAGCGCGGCAGTATTCCTTCCATGTATTCGAAGGTTATTTCAACTCAAAAATAAAATATAACTTCAATCCTCTAACTCAAGGTGTTTGATTGCAGTGGTGGAGCCCCCCCTCCCCCCTCCCCCCCGGTCCTCTTTGCTCCTCGGGTCAGGGTTGTCACGGTCAGGAAATACCGGGAAATGCCACAGAATGCTTTAAAGTCAGGGAAAACCTGGAAATGTCGGGGAAAATGACAAAAGTGCCAGGGAAAGATTTTCAAGTCGCCTCCATTTGCTTTCTTTCTAGGATGGGTTCGACGTTTCCAACAACAGATTTTGCGTGAGAATTATATCGGACTGCATTTTCATACCTCTGACGTATCTTCACGCGGAGAAAAAAACTTCGTGCGTGGGACCCGAAGTTTAGGTCATATGGATCTCTGAAGTTTTCGGATTGAGCATCTGAACACTTTAGATGTAGCTGTCGAGGTTCGGATCATACATCCGAAACTCTAGTTCTTAAATCTGAAGTGCTTCGCTTTTCACATCCGAAAATCTTCGGTTCTTACATCCGAAAAACTTCGGTTCTCACATCTGAAGTACTTCAGATGTAAGGACTGAAGTTTCAGATGTGTGATTCGAACCTCGACAGCTAGATCAAAAGTGTTCAGATGCTCAATCTGAAAACTTCAGAGATCCATGAGACCTAAACTTCGGGTCCCACGCACGAGGGTTTTTTTTCCGTGCAATTCGCAGGGAATGTAACTAATAAGTGGGAAGGAATGTCTGGGAATCTCAATCTCTAAATTCTGTGTCAACCCTGATTAAGTAAAGAGAAGACGGGAAGATAGTAGAAGTAGGATACCTCAAAATTGACTACAATTTTTTTTTAGAATTTACCTTTGTGGTTTTTTTTTATATTAATTGTGGGGTTCGGGGTCGACAAAGGGTCGACTTGTTTGAAAATATTCTTAACGCACCCGAAATGGCGGGAACATGATGGAACTGATGGAAGTGATGTCCTACAGCACTCAAATCGCCATCTTCTCCCAGTTTCCTCTGACGCTTGTTAAAATACCACTTATTTCCATGTGGAATTGTTGCTTGTTTACCACAGATGACATGAATTTGATTCGATTCCTTGATTCTGAAGACATATTCTTAACATTCGATTTTTTTCATTCACGAAAAATAGAAAGTCATCGGACGGAAGTCGTAGTTTCCCGTGCTCGCTTCTGATTTGTGCCGGATGACATCTTTCGATTCGGTCCGAAACCGGGGCGCTTTATACGTTTCCAGAAAAGTTGCGCTTTTTGAACTTCGGATTTCTCGTTTTCTGAGATAGATGTTCTCGTTTCTAATGCGCGCATCGTGTCGTACGTGTCATATACCTCCAGAAGAATCATTAGCAAGTCAAAATTTGTTTATGATTTAGTGGCCCATTGTGATAGCAGTTGCTTGAGAGCACGAACAGAGTTGCGCGCAGTAGTTTTGCCGTTTCTGCACGCTGTGCAGTCTCGCCAAGGAACAGGAACATTGCATGATTACCGTGTGTATTTGCATGTGTTTACCGCAAAATTAGATTTTAACCGAGACCATCCATAAATTTTTTTGAAAAGTCTCTACGTATATAGAGACTTTCAGACTACTAGACTACATGGAGACTATCCATACTAGAGATCTATGCACTCCAATGAACCACTAGACACGCAGGTAGTAATGTAAGCATTGCGTGTTTCTTAACCAGAATTTCACGTAGAACACGATTCTCTCGTCGAAAATTACTGAGATCAACTCTTAACTATAAGATATTAACATTTTTATATTACACTGGTTAGTGGTTCCTAGCAATTTGAATTGCCCGGCCACAAGAAACGCAATGCAGTCCACGTGGGTTAAATCGTGCCTTGCAACGGGTTCGGCAGGCTTCGCAAATGAACATTGTTCCTTTCCCCATCATTTATTGTTCAGAGGGTAAACGATTTGCTTCAGCTGAGCCAAAGCGTCAAGATTGAGGTGGCCATATTTTTGTATCGCAGAGACTTCTGCAACACGGGAGAAAAAAGTGTGGGAGGTATCCCCTAAAATTGTGGTACTATATCCCAATTTGTTGGTCGATATGAACATTTCCAATTAATTATGTCAGTGCCGCAACTCTAGTTGGGGTGGTACTGCGACGTTTGGGTAAGTAACCTAATTTATTGGGGCATTGCCACAATTAATTGGGGTACAACCACAATTAATCAAAATTGTCCATATCACCCAACAGTTTTGAGACTTAACCCCCTACCTCTTTTTATTTTTCGAGCACGGTAACGTTTAGTGTGCGATTTGACTCACGTAGAGCATTGCGTTTTCGTGAGCGGGAGGTTTGAATTCACGCGTCAAGAAACATTGAATAGCTGGGTCAGAAGTTGATTTCAGTAATTTTCGTTGCGCGACTCGTACGTTTCTAATAAAAAACATGTATCCGAATGCTTAACTTTGTACCTTGTCTGGTGGTCCATTATGTTATACAAAAAAATGTGTGCATTATTCTGCCGTGATAGCGAAGAGAGCAGCCAGTACGTGCATGCCGGGATGAACCTCGAGACACATAAAAGCATGTGCTAACTATGGCTCATACAAAAATGAATTTACTGCTCTCTTCGCTAACACGGCAGTATAGTGGAACGGTGGGAAGCTAATTAGTATTTTTTTATTGTAAAATCTACATTGAAATCTGTCGGACATTTTTTTTCAATGGACCACTAGACAAGGTGCGAATTTGAGCATTCTGATACATGCTTCTCAACCAGAATTTCACATAGAACACGATTCGCGCAACAAAAATTACTGAAACCAACTCCTAACGGAGATATTCACATTTTTATTTCGTATTGGTTACGAGGAATTTGAACTGGCCGCTCACAAGAAACTCAAAGCTCTACGTGAGTCAAATCGCGCCCTACAACGGTTTCAGCAAGCTTCTCAATCGAGCGATGTTCATTTCCCACCATGTGTTTTCCAAACCATAAGTAATTTGCTATAGCTGAGCCAAAGTGTCAAGATGGAGGTTGCCAGATTTTTTTATCGCACAGAGACGCTCATGATAACGTTTAGCGCGCGATGTGAATCACGTGGAGCATTGAGTTTTCATGAGCGGGTGGTTTCAATTCACGCACCAAGAATCATTAAATATCCTCGGAAGGAGTCAACTTTGGTAATTTTCGTTGTGCGCATCGTGTTTTACGTAAAATTTTGGTCAAGAGACATGTATCGGAATGCTGAAATTCATACCTTGTCTAGTGGTCCGTTACAAAATTGTTAAATCAGCAATTTTATTTTTTTCCGTGTAATTGATGAAATCAGCGGTTAATTAATTGTGTATTGCTTGTTCTGTTGCAGATCTCGGCTAGTGAACCACGCGTACGGGTTGTATTTCAAAGATCAAACGTATTACCGGGTGAGCAACATGGACGGGCGGGTTGAAAACGCGGACCATCGGCTCACCGACGACATCACGGCCTTCACGTCGTCGATAGCGCATCTCTACTCGCACCTCACCAAACCCCTCTTCGACTGCGCCCTCATCGGACTCGCCCTCGCCCACTCCACCAAGAAAATGGGCGCCGCAATCATACCAGGTAACAGAAACCCCGCTTTGCATGTCTTCCAAAAAAATCATCTTAAATCAGCGAATCAGCCAGTCCCTAGCGGGCTGATCGTCAAAATGTACCACCAGACAAGGCACGAATTTAAGCAATCTGATGCTCCTAAGTAAGTCTCTTAACAAAAATTTCACGTAGAACACGATTCGCGCAACGAATATTACTGAAACCAACTCCTAACGAAGATATTAACGTTTTTATTTCACGTTGGTTACGAAGAATCATTAGTTTAAGAATCATGTATCAGAATGCTGAAATTCGCACCTTGTCTAGTGGTCCATTAATAGACAAATCATACAGTCCCTTATGATCATTCTGGTTTTCACATAGTGCAATAGTTAGTGCGGTGCGAGCTCGCAGATAGGTCGATTTTTATTTATTCTATTTGTTTCATTTTAAAAATGTGACACTTTTAACTGTGGAACTCTTGAAATATGCCCAATTTCGCAAGGACCATCGGTGGATTTTTTAGTGTTTTTAGTGATTTAGTCTAAGTTATAATGTCGGCACTGAAGAAGCCCCATATGAGGGGCGAAAAGCGTTCGCCATGAATTTCAATAACAAAGAAAGCCAGAATACTCGTAAGTAACTGTTTGATTTTTATTATTTTACTGGCGAATTCAGCGTTTATTGATAGACAAAGCTATCAGCAAAGATACACACGGAGTATGGAGCGATCTACTGCTTGAAATTGATGGTTCTTATAAAACATCATGTTCTCCTTCATATAGTGGTAATGTGATTCAACTTCTCGGTGATCAAAGTATAAGTGTTTCGCCCCATCCAACTTTTTTACTCATGCGTTAAAGTCTTTGAGTAAGCGCAAAGGAAACCAAGCTCTTCTTCATTGATGTGGATATGCGAGAAAGTTTTTTACCTCATAAACGTGGTCGGACCTTAAGGGGACCTTATCTACCGGAAGAAAATTTCTAAAACTTTGAACTCTAAGCAAAAAACGATCGCAGGAAGCGCCTGCAAAACTGTGAAGATACTTCAAGCATCGCACAATCTCTACCCGATCCCTAGACTCGCTCTCTACTCTTGAGGGACTCTTTACCCTCGAATTGCGTAAAGTTCCGAGGTGCGCAGGGCAGCTCTGTCGTGCTAAGGAAAAGCGCCGGGTGAGCATTTGAGAGTTGCCAAATTTCCTTCTATAAAATGTTTATTTTTGATGAAAATTATGAATATTTTTAATCCTTAAAATTTTCAGATGATTTAGATTAAATTGCGGACAAACTTGTCTAAAAATTGGAAGAACAATATCGGCAACTTTCCTCATAAATTCGTATTTACTATTTAATCAAAGGAAATTTGGCAACGCCTGAAACTTCATACGGCGTTTTTCCTTAGCACGGCAGAGCTCGCGTCAACAATTTTGGAAGGTTTACGCAAATATTGAGAGTATTTTAATCAAAACTTAGTGAATTTTATATAATCCATTATTCAAGGCCGTAGCTTTTGTAATTTTCCCACCTCTACCTAGCTCGCGAACGACCGTTGGTTTGTGAAAATTCTGCACCCTCGCTCAAAAGTAGCGTTATTTTATACGTGCTGTACATACATCGCGCAAGTCTGCAACCGGTCTGTATCAAGTTCCTTCGTTGGGACGCTGAGCCAACGACGCGACGTCTCGTCGGTCGTCCGTTTGCGCATCGGATTTGCGTGGTACGCTTTTACGGAATGAAATTTCATCTTGCTGAAAATTTCACTTTCCATGAAATTGCAACGATTTTTCCGGGAGATATAATGCATTCCGCAAAAATGTTCTGATAATTTGTTAAAAAACTTCGAAACTTCACCCATGATATTGTTTTTTCTCTCTAAAAATTAAGAGTTTACCGTTTACATGTGTTTTATGGTCCCTATACTGAGTCTATTGCAGTATAGTTTGGATAATGTTCATGAAATTTCATTTTCTGAAGTACATAAAACTTTGCATCTCTGTAGGTAGACTGAAAAGAAAAACTTATTGGATCTAGAGTCCTGACTCTTAAAAACATCGACAAGAAAAAGTACTCTTGATTTAATCAGAATCTAGCTTAAATCAAGAACCAAGCCTCTTAATTTATGCGGATTTCGTTTTGATTCAAGCAAAAATTCGATTGAATCAAGAGTATTTTTTCTTGTCAATGTTTTCAAGAGACTGGACTCTAGATCCAATGTGTTTTTTTTTCCCAGTGTATGATAAACCCCCTCGACAGAGTAGCCTTTTTCAATAAACTTACCGTAGTTGTAATGAATAACACCGAAAATAAGGTCCAAGTATTGTAAGTAAGAGGGCTAATGACAGTGCTAGGCGCACACTATTCTGAGGAAAAGTCGAGGCTGGAAAAAGCCAAATCATCATTAATATAAACTTCGAAGGATTCTGCCTTTTTCTATTTCACTCGAGGGGAAGTGTCCCCTCCCGGACTCTCTTCCCCACCCGGTGACTGACGCTGCGCTGTGCTGAACGGTTCAGCCTGAACCTTTCCCCTACGTCTGACCGTTCCCCACTCCTCTGTCAATCGAACCATATGCCACCGCTTACG